CGCGAGGCTAGCTCTGTTGAATCAGGTCAAGCCTCCGTCCAGCCCACCGTCCAGCGTGCACCTGTGCCTCCAAAAGTGGAACGTGGCCAAGGGGGTGCTCCACCTAGAGCAGCAAGCCACCACCCACGGTTGCAGCCTGTCACCCCCCACTGTCAGGTCCCCGTGGCGGCCAGTCTCCACCCCACCTGCTCCTCACATCAGCTGTTGCATGAGCCGCTCCTGGTGTATCTGGTTGGTGACGTAAGGAACGTAAACACGGCGAAAAGCAGGGCAGTGCCTCAGCACCACTTCCCCGAGGCCTGGCAGGAAGACGTCCTGGTCCAGGTGCTCCTCCAGCTGCAGCAAAAACCTGCCGCGGGGAGAGAAAAGGTGCAGCTCGGAGCCCGGCGATGCTCTGCCAGCCGGTTCTGCTCAGGAGTCTCTCTGAGTAGAGAGGCCGGTTAAGAGCCTCGGAAAGAGCGAGGAGAGCAGAGGCCACCCTACCTCTCGCTGACATCCTTGACCTGCGACAGATTGGAAAAGAGCTGCCGTAATTCGGCCCCCGTGAGAGCCCCGCGTAGCCCGGGAGAGAGCTGGAAGTGGGAGACGGCCACCAGGAGGCTGCGCAGGTAGGACGCCTCCGAAGTGACCACCTCGAACATGGCCTGCCGCGAGACAAAGGCAGACGGGCTGTTAGGAGCGGGTTCAAACCCTGCGGAAATGGATCTTGCTGGAATCGGGAATCGGCAGTAGGGTTGAGCCCCTGCTGAGCCCTCCAAATCAAGGCTGTGGGGACGGGAGCACCACGACCGGGGCCTTGATCTCCAGCATTTCAGAAACACCTCTCCCTTTTGCGCTGAGCTGCACTGAAGTGTGAAAGGCTAGACGGCACAGATTAAGGTTGCTTGGAACGTTTTAAGCTTCTTGAGGAAAGTTTCTTTTGGCTTTTTCTCTAGTAAGCTAAGCAGAAACGTTCTAGGTCGCAGTCCCTAGCCAAAATGATTTCCTGGAGGATAATGCAATGCCGAAAAGTCTTTATTTCTTTTGGCACGGTTAACTAGTTAAGCTAACCTGTTGGACATGCATATCTCCCTCCTTGGTGGTTTAAAATCAGTTTGCGTCCTCAGAGTTGCTAATTCCGAGACTCTGTCCAAAAGGAAGCCACAGCAATTACTCCCTTCGTAGGATTGCCATGAAGTACAACAAGCTGTGGCCAGATATTTTGAGTAATTAATTAAACAATATTTCTTCTCCGCTTTCTTATCCAGAAGCGTTCCGTTATGGCTCGTGCCCAGTGCGCGGCTGCCACGCTTGGCCCAGCCTGCTAGACGTTGCCTCCTGCTCCGTCTGAACCAAGGCACGGCAGCGGCGAGGACAGCTCGTGCCGTCCCCTCTCTT